GCAGTGGGCCCAGCCTGAAGGGCCGGAAGGTGCGTGGCCGGCCGGTGCGGGACTGGCGCGGCTCGGCGGCGCTCGCCCTGCCCGTGCCAGCCAAGCAGGGGAGACACCAGAGCTCGAGTCGTTCAAAATGAAATTGCCCATTACTAAGGGTTTGCCCCAACCACGTGTCAGGCTGTGTGGAATTGCCAGCATCAGCACTAATTCTTGATAATTGCTTCTTGGTGTACTCAGCTAAAACACAGCAAAATAAATTACGTATTAATATATATGTACAGAGAGAGAGAGGGAGATAAAACCCATATATACCTATACATATATACACATTGCTGGTCTCTCCGAAGTACAAATGATTAACTGGTAAAGTTGCATTTCCCACTGTTTATTTAAACGTCGAATATGTAAAGTAATTGTGTGTGTTTACAACCATATCTTTACCTCTTGACACTATCTTGAGATCGTTTCAAGACAGCTTAGTTATCTCTGCAAGTGGCAATGCTGGGTCCCATTTCTTGTTTGAAATAAACCGGAGGGTGACTTGCTTTCTGAGAACTGCAAAGGAAAACATCTTGCAAACTAAGTTAGGACTCCAAAGAGACCTCGTGTTCAGTAGCTGTCTCATCAGCAAATACAAGTTTCAGAACTTTGTCTTGGCTGTTTCATTGCAACAAGATTTCCCCGTGAGTATACATTCTGCGTAAACATGGCTTAGACTTTCTTTCACCAAAACTCTAGCCTCGTCGCTTGCTTTTAAAAAAAAGAGGACTTCAAAAAAATATGTATTTTCCTGATGAGTACTGATTGGAGGGCACTTAAATACTACGTTGATGAGGGCGGTGTAACAGCCCATATGGAACAGAACACAAAAATGGGATCTAAACAAACTCTGAGGGGATGTTTAAAATGGGGGAGGGGGGGTCAGAAGAGCTTGTAGTGGACACGGTCGGAAGTGGGTACAGCTTTACCTACCGGTTAAGAGGAATTCACCGCCCGGGGGGGGATGATTACACAAAGAAATCCGTGCCCACGGAAAAGTTGGATCTGGGCAAATTTGGGAAGCTTTCAGACAACCGGCTGCTGGCCGGTGCGCCGGCGCACAGCGGGGCGCAGGCTCCGCGCCGCCCCGCGTCCCGGGCCGCGGTGCTCCGGGCTGGGCTCCCCGCCGCACCCCCCGGAGCAGCGCCGCGTGGCCGCGCAAACTGCGGAGTTCGCGGCTTCTCTCTCCTTCCTTAATGTGAAATGTAAAGGATTCTCCACTGCGAGAGGCAGAAGTTCTTCACTTTTCCGTGCGTGAGTCTCCCTTACCGGTCAGACTAGGAAAATAGCTAAACATAGAAAATATTCCTACTTAAAATTAAAAGCAAAAAAAAAAAAAAAAAAGGAAAGAAAGGAAGGAAGAAAGAGAGAAAAAAAGAAGGAAAAGGCTCTAAAAGGGATTGGAAAAGACGTTAATAGAATGGAGGGAGTGTTGAGAGACAATTTAAGGTAAGCATTTGTTGTACCTCCTTCGAGCTTATGTTTAACAGAAATGTATGAAGCTTTTATCCACAATTTTAAGGGAGAAGGAGACTGGAGGAAAACATAAACAATCACATCTTGTAGCCGGAGCTATACGCAGCCAGTTTGTCCTGCCACTGCCTGCTGCGGGTAGCTTCGCCTAATCAAACCGGAGCAATTCCTCCCGCCTAGGAAAGATAAATGCTAGGAAAGGAAATAGCTGGATTAGCCCCTCTCCCGCCCCCCAAAACATGGAAATTGTAAATATGGCATAGCCAACCCAGGGAGGGGGAAGGGATGGAGGAGCATAAATGGGGCCGGGGAGGGAAAATGAAAGGTGTGACGGGAGATAAGCAGGAGAAACGAAGGAAGAGCGACAAGAAGAAAGTATAAAGGGAAATACAAATGAGGAGAGAAAAAAAAGTTGCCTCCGCGAGCCCGAGCCGGGGCTGCCAGGGCGCGAGGCGCTGAAATATGATAATCAGAAC